ATATATGTATATATATATATATATTTACATATGCAGCGTGCCATCGCTGTGCTCCAGCCAGGTGACCAAGAAAAGGAAGGAGTCGAGTGCTGTTCACGATGGCTTCTTATTCTCAGTGGCACAGGCCGTGGCGGAAACGGGACGAAGTGGCCGACGCTGAGCAAGGGGGCAGCCGTTGTAGCGAAGTGACCGTCTCCTTCTTGCTCCCTCCCCCAGTGCCACACCTCGACCCCCCCCCTCTCTTTCCTCCTTCGTTTTATATATATATATATATATATATATATATATATATATATATATATGTGTGTGTGTGTGTGTGTGTGTGTGTGTGTGTGTGTGTGTGTGTATAAATATATATATATATATATATATATATATATATATATATATATATATATATATATATATATAATACATATATATGTGTGTGTGTGTGTGTGTGTGTGTGTGTGTGTGTGTGTGTGTGTGTGTGTGTGTGTGTGTGTGTGTGTGTGTGTGTGTGTGTGTGTGTATATATATATATATATTTATATATATATATATATATATATATATATAAACATACATATATATATATATACATATATATATATATGTATATATATATATATATATATATATATATATATATATATATATATATATATATATAGAGAGAGAGAGAGAGAGAGAGAGAGAGAGAGAGAGAGAGAGAGAGAGAGAGAGAGAGAGAGTGTGTGTGTGTTTTCATTCTTACTCCTTTTCCTCTTGCTCTTTTTTTCTTTCACATACTCTCTCCGTTGTTTCCTCCGCCATTTCGCACCTTCCCGTGATTCATCGTTCCTCCCTCCTCCGCTTTGCCTGAAGCGCCACAGGTGGTGGAAGGTAGATTATGGGCCTCAGGTGTTCCTGGCTGACACCGCGAGAAGCGCTCATGTTTATTTCATTGCTGGCGGACGCGAAGATGAAGAGCAGAGTACAGCTGCTAATTGGGAGAAATGGAGGCGGTATCAGTTTGGACTGGGAGATGCTCTGGCTGAATAAAGGCTGGGAGGAAGGGTTCACGGGAAGGAGAGAGAAAGGGGAGTCGACAGACGGGCAATAAAGCATGCTGAGATGGAAAAAGACTTGTGACTGGTAGTAGACAAATAGTTTGCCACATAAAAAGCGTAACGCAGAGGTAACCGCACGTGAGGAGAGAGGTTACAGTAATAGTAAAAGTATCCCTTGTATAAGCCATTTACTCAATAGATGATTCACGGCAGAATGGGAACTTTCACTATATATTTCTACAAACGATCCCAAATCGCTGTACAAGTTATTGCACGAGAATCAGCCGCCAGGGAGCAATACACCACGCATTCCCATCACCAGAGGCTTCTTACTACACGTGTTTTTACTCATCTAGACGCCACACATGGATCATAATGGTCGAATCCCCATCCGAGGCTTCACAGAGGCACCATGCTTTCGGGAGCACGTCGGAGGCAGGGCAAACATCATCGATCCGGCTGCGTGCGAACGGTTTTCCCGCGCGAGATCGAACGCGTGCTCCTCCCCGCGCCGCTCGATGCAAGAACGCGTTAGCACGTGCACGCGACTCGGCTACTCGAGATGAGAAGCAAGAAATTATGAAAGCAAAGGAGATTTTATAGTATAAACCTAAGATATATAAAGCCATGCATCTCACTTGGATTTTAAGAAGACGTCAGCAAGTTTGTAGCTTTTGAATAATGAAAATAATAAGATAAGATAAAATAAGAAAATAAGGGGAGGTATAGACAAGTCGCTGATAAATTTTAGCAGCATTTCAAACTGCCTTAGCGTGGGAGGTTTTACTAAAAGAGCTGGTAGAAAGAAAATGATTAAAAGTATATTTCAAGAAGAGATTGGCTTCGTGTGTATGTTGAGAGCGCTTATTTTCTTGTCCCTTCTCCTAGTCTTCAAATATACTAAGCAAAATATATCTAAATTTGGTCTTTCTCCCTCCCTCCAATCCTCCCTTCATTTCTTCCTACTTTCCCACCTTCCTCCTTCCTCCCTATTTCTCCTCTTCCTCCCTTCTTCCCTCCTCCATCATCTTTCACCTCCTTCCTCCCTGTTCTCTTTCCCTCTTTTTTCTGCCTCTCTCTCTTCCTCACTTTCTTTTTTCTCCTTCCATCCTCCTTCCTCCTCCCAGTTGTTATTTTTTCTCTCTTTCTTCCTCCTCCTTTCATCTCTCTCTTCGTCCTTCCTTCTTTATCCCATCCTCATTTCATCCCATCGTCTTCTTCCTTTCCCCCTTTTCTCCTCCTACTTCCATCCACTACCCTCCCCGTCCTTCTCTCTTACTTTTCCCTCTATCTCTTCCTTCCATCCTCTTTTTTCTCCTCCCATTTCTCTATCTCTCTTCCTTCCTTCCTCCACTCGTTCTTCCGTCTCCTGCCCTTCTTTCCTTCTTCCTCTGCACTTTTTGGTCGAGCTGTAAAGTTGTTGACAGTCCTTTTCGCTGCATGCGTAAATCATGTCCAACGTTATTTTCTTTTCCTCCTCTTCCTCTTGGATACGAAAATTCAAACTTCGTTACTGATTCCCACCATCTCGTCTCACAAGTCCTTTACAACGGCAAATTCCCTCCAAGCATCCAGTAAATGCAGCAGAGACTAGCAGACAGTCAAAGTATAGTTTAGTGAAGAATTTGTGAAAAGTGAGATTTTTTTATGCATGAAGAACACTCACAATGAACACACAAACACAGTTTGCTCGTTCCTCGGACACAAACAAGCCACTTAATGAAGCGGTTTTCTCCCTTTTGAAAAAAGATTTGCATTTCTCATTCACATCATTCTTCTTTGTTCGTTTTTTCTTTGAGTTTAAGCTTTGCATTATCCAGTATTGTTGATTTGTTGAGCTTTAGACATGACTTTGGGGACCTTGGCTAGCTACCGCAGAGGCAATTCAGTGTCTCTGTTTTAGCAAGCAAATAGGAGAAATTAGGAGGGGCCACGAAAGTTTGATTTTCCTAAGGAGAAGGAAGCTAAATAGTCTGAAAAAAAAAAAACAAATAGACGAATACATATTATATGATTATCATTTCATCGTAAGTAAAATCAACCTGTAAAATTCACGTGATTGTTTTGCAGTTAGCTGTAACCCCTACATACTCAAAATTACACACACAAACACACACACACATGTATATATATATATATATATATATAATATATATATATATATATATATATATATATGTATATATATATATATATATATGTATGTATGTGTATATATATATATATATATATATATATATATATATATATATATATATATACTCACACATTTGTATACGGGTATGCCTATTTGTCAAATCTGAAATGTGAATTAATAATTCATATTTGCAAGCTGTATGACTGTGGGGACATAAACTGAGGATGAATTTTTGTATATGGCTGCCTTCAATCTTCACTATGTCTGAAATGTGCGAAAGGTCAAATCCACGTGACAGAATTGGAAGTATCTCCTACAACCGCCGCTCCAAAGACGAGCGAGACAACGTGAAAAGGAATACAAATAGAATGCATCTCATTCATCTGGACAGGTATGTTTCACGGCAGGGGATGCTGCAGGCAAAGATCGCAGGGCTGGCAGGTACCGGAGGAAAACTGTGGTTCTCCACCTGATGACTTGCACTTGCAATGCCACCTCTTGTTGCAAAAATCGCCGTCCGTTTCACGTAGAGATCTATCGATTGTCTTAACAGTGGGATCTTGGGAGCACGATAAGCGGGGACGCTAAAATGTTGGCCAAAGCACTTCAAAAGGTCCGTTCGAGGCAGGCAGCTGTGTCACAATGCACGGCGCCAGACATAACTGTCATCGGTGGCACATATAAGGTGAAATATGCTCTGATTTACTGAACGTAAGGTTGCGTATATCAGTGGCTGTGAATATCAAAACATCTTCAAAATCAGTCTTTCTCTCTCTCTCTCTCTCTCTCTCTCTCTCTCTCTCTCTCTCTCTCTCTCTCTCTCTCTCTCTCTCTCTCTCTCTCTCTCTCTCTCTCTCTCTCTCTCTCTCTCTTGCTCGCTCGCTCCCTAAAGAACCGAAATATCAAGACGGTTTGTCTCTTCCACAGGAAATGGAGTAGCTGCGCTGGCGTCTGAGACTGAGACATCGCCTTCCACTTCGACAGAAGACTAGGCATCCTATCAAGGGGGAAGGTTGGGATGTTCATATCACCATAATGATGATTATCTGGGTTGAAAATGTTATCCGTGGGTAGAGAAAAAAGGGCTAGTAGCAGTACGAAAATCTGAACCCAATAGTGTGTGTCTTGACTTCTAATAGTATCAGTTATTACGGTCTTTATGGAAGGTACGATACATATAGGTAAACTAATTAAGCTGATCGCGACGCTAACGCGCCATAAACAAATAGCAAAATCGATAATCCTGGGATAGTCAACGTAGCTGTATTAGTAATGTTTTAGCATAAATCACCGGAGAAAAGGAACAACGTCATATACAAGGTATCAGAACAGTAATAGTCGCGATATGATAAATGGCTGTCAAGTGACGGTGACTGTGAACTAGCTGGCGAAAAGGCGTCGTCGAGACAACAGTCCAAGCGCCTACAGAAATAACTGCTGTTCTTCCTGCGACATTATTTTGAACGGAGGGAGGTGTCGCTGGAAACCACAGCAAAGAAGTATAAGCTACCACGTTGGTGTGAACACTCTTATGGCGGTACGTATTGCTGGATGATCTTGTCTGTATTGAAAGGAAAAAGTAAATCACCAAGACTGCTCATCTCGCTGCGGCAAAAAAAATGTAATAATTATGGGATTATTTAGTACATCGTTTCATCGCTATGAAAGAGTGTAGTAAGAGTCAACAAAATGAGTGTCTGCGGTTGCATACATGCATGTGATGAAGAAACACATACAGCGCTCTTAAACAGTAGAGCCTTAGAACCAGGTAACCCGGTTTTCCTAGATTTGGCGGCAAAGCGTCCAAGTACAATTGCCTCCCCTAAAAGTTTTCCGTTTTCTATGAGTAAACATTGACCGAGGAAGCGCTTAGTAAACGCTCAGAGAGAAGACGGAGAGGCAGAGGCAGAGACTACCGCTAATTTCTTCGTCTGCACGCGTAAGTACGCATTCTGTTAAATGTATTTAGACACAAACGAAGACAGGCAGCCATCCAGATCTATATCCTCTTCCCTTTTTAAGGTAAGGTGCGTAGAAGAAACGGCAGACGAGACTAAGAGTAGTTTGTTGACATCTATGCTGATCGTGTGTTCATTGCCGGATGCCTCTCGACATTGCTTTTTGGCAGTTAGACGCCAATTGGTGATATATCCTCACAGATGAGACGATACGCAATGCGTGTGCAGAATAATTTTCGTTCGTTTTCCTTGGGAGAGGAAGTAAACCGAACTGAGAATAAATGTAATGGGTATAATTAAGGAAATTCCAGAAGGCGTCCATTCTCTGTGGTGCACAAAGCCGCGTTTGATGCTGACTAGTTTGGCTTGGCTTGCCCTTCCAGAAGAGAGCAGGAGATGCAATAGAATGCACTAAGTAAATAAGGTAACCAAAGATTGTGGAATGCAGTACATTGTTTTCAGTTTGTTGGTTTGGCAATTGTCCAGAAAAATAACTTTCTAGGGGCCAAAATTTAAGCAATACAGCTTTTTAGAAGCACTCATTTCTATACAATTTGACATGCACCAGTAGTGGGTAACATGCAGCCCAATACAAATGCTTGCAGTGGCTCCAGCAAGCACAGAGCAAAGGCAAACAAACACCTCTAGAGTATATATTTTGGCAAGTTGAACATACAGAGCACCTGTACAGGTAATTTTCTGGAATAGGATGAATATTGAAATGAAGACCATGCAAAGTTAGAGAATATCTAAACTAATGCTCTTGAAAAACACTGAAAATGCATTTATTTTAGAAAATAAACTGCGGAAATTAACCTCTTGGATCGAATGCTTAACTGCCTGCACATGACCTTTCTTGAGTGCTCACTCTGACAGGTGTGTGACTTGTAGGGTAGGTGCATACTAGACTCCATGCCTCCTTTGCTATCTCATACAGCAGTGAACACAGCAATTACTGTGGCCATCAAGCATCCACTAAATTTAATTTACAAGATGGAACTTTAACAGTAAATTTATTGTGTATTGTTAAAACATATGCAGTGTCTCAAGTATTACAGCCTCCAGTAGCATTACCATTAGTACATAAGAATCATTTCACCAAAACTGGATTTTTGATCAGGTTATTGGTCTGGTTGTTAGATGTCTATAGATGAATTGAGTCTTGGTGATGTTTTTGTCAAGACGTGCTTGAGGTGAAAAGTCTCATAGAATTCATCAATGTTTAAATTCCAAGTGAATAATTGTTCTTGTATATCCACAAAAAGATATTTATATTGATACTCAATAATTTATATATTTATGTGCATATATGCATCTGTGTATAAGTATTATGTTTTTGTACATGGTACTGTTAATGGCTTTGTGATAGATACTTTGTATATTCTTAATCACTTCATAATTCAGAAGTAGACTTTATATCCTCCTCCTCATGTTTATAATCATTATTATTTTTTTTACTGAACAACTTTACTGTTGATTATACTGTTAGTGCTTGGCTGGAGATGTGCGTGCTTTTCTCTTGCAATGGTTACTGAATGATACATGATACCAAGTTGAAATTTAGATGAAATGGATAATGTATTTAGATGACTATATGTAGCATTGCATTGGTGTCATTGTGAAATTAAAGTGGTTTGATTTTCTTGCCTGGTTGTCCCATTTTTGAATAAAGGAGACAGGTACTTCATTTCATGGTATGATATTGTCTTTTTGTTGAATAGAACATTCTAAATTAATTTAGTTGGATATCGGGTATACATAGGAATGATAAATGAAATGAGATGAGCAGTGGTGATTTACTGTTTCTTGCTTATGTAGTCAAAGGAAATTGTATTTGTGAGTCATGGTAAATATTTTTGATATAAATTATAGAAGTAGGTGGAATATATTCAATGCTGAGGCTCAGATCTTACCATTATTCCGTAATATTCTATGTTGTGGACTTGACTGATGCAACAGTTATCTTGACCCAATGGTCCATTAATAAAATACATTAGTGATGCTAACCATTTTGCTTGGACCCTTCATTTTGTAAGTATAAGAAGTACTCGCTCCTCATTAGTCTTTTTGCACTATTGAGCAGTATACACCTAGCCCTTTATTTATACAGTATTGTGGTTTTTGTGTAAGCCTGCCCTTCTAAAGGACTCTAAGCTGATCATGGAGCATCAAGCAGGAAAGCCTCTTGCTTCCTCTTTCCTTACTTCATGTTGGTTGTGTATTTCAGCTGGTGTTGGGCGACGTACTGGGTGTGGGGTTGCAGGTGCTGGATTTTACTATGAGCTATATGCCCACTTCTTTGCCATATGTGCCATTCCCTGCACCTTCACCAACATCAGCCCTGCACGTAGGTGATGCCATAGATCACCATGATCACATGTGCCATTCGAGTGCTGCTGGACTTGTGTCTTTACATCTTGTAGGATCAAGGCTTCATAGGTTTTCCACAAGTGTTAAGGAAATGCTAAGGCAGTATATGGGATCATGTTTTGCTCACTTGAAACATATTGTCAAACCTTGACAAATGGTTTAGGACAGGAAGGTGCATTGTAATGCACATCAATATCATTCTTTGAAATATTTTTTAATGACCTTTACCTTTTCTAAGATAAGAGAGTAAATTGATTCTCTGCCTATAGCATATGTTATGTTCAATAGAAATAGTGTTTATGAAAAGTTAACAAATAGATTAAATTGACTTGTTTTTGCCATTTGGTTTAAAATGGCTTCTATCGACCCTCTAATTGAAACATGTTTTTAAATGCAGTACCCTTTAGTACATTACCGAATGTACAAGAAAATGCCACCATTTCGTATTGTTGAAGAGAATACTGATTATTTTCTCTTTTATACAAAACATGTTACAGTTCTAAGCAAGATTCAGAATTTCTCTCTCTCTGTCACTCTTCAAATCTTTTAGGATTGTACTTTCGTTTTTCCACTTTTCTTCATCCAATAGTAAATCAAGAATATCATTACTTTCTAAAAGATTATCATTTCTGATTTGTGGCTTGATTATCGACAGATTTATTACAGCAGGAAATTTCAGTTATGGATTCCCCTTTAATACATTTTGCAGAAATATCGTATTACTCTGTACTCTAAAGTGCTGATGGTGATTACTTGCCTTTTTTATACATTATATGTTATTTATCTTTAAGTCTGTATTGTCTAATATAATATCTGTTGCCATGCATTTATACTATTATTATTATTATATATATTATTATTATTATTATATATATTATTATAGACTTAAGATTGTGGTTCAAAATATGTAAAGATGCAGATTTAGGAAGAAATTACAGCCATCTTTCATCTTAACTCCTTTGGGTTACAGTTTTTCTTCCAGTAACAGTAGTTTTAGTAAAATTTTCAGTAGAAAATGTTTGCTGTGCTCTGTCATATTGAAGAAAAATGTGTAATCCTGGATGAATAAGAATTTTTAGTAGTAGTATACACCATAAAGTGTCAGAACATATTTGGATATACGTCAGAGGAGACTCTCTCTCTCCAAGGAACATTCAGTGCCCCCCCCCCCACTCAACAAATTGAAAACATTGTTGATCGTTATGGTAGTATTGCGTATTAGGTGATTTGATGAGTTATTAGTTTCATGTTAAGGACTTGAACCTGTTGCCTCTTAAGTCTGTGCTGGAATGGTAGGATGTACAGCTACACAGAAAAATACCAATAGAAAATCATACTAAACATTCTGATTCAAGCAACAATGCTTTTTTAAATATAGTTAAAGCTACGGAACAGTTAGGAGCCCTGGTTTTCCAACTACTTTTAGGTATGTGTGGCTTATCTGAATATTGCAAAGCATATTCCATCCCTCGCCGGATAAAATCATCTCACAGTGAACCCATATGAATTCCGGGACAACTATTCGAGACATGAAGGAGACAAATTTGAAACCCAAAATACCAGCCTTTCCATGAAATAACGTTCTGTTCGTTATTGAATATTTTGACACTCCTCCTAACAATGTTTTTTTGTATAGCAGTACATACTGTGGCCACTGTAATTTTGCTTTCTTAATTGTGTTTGCATATAGACTGGCCCACATTTACTTAGTCACCTGGGAGTCGGTTATTAGGTAGTTGTACATGTCTCATCTATTTGCCCAATTTAAAGTTTGTATTGCATGTATTATATTTATGATATAATGAAGATTATAATGTCAGTAATAATGATAATAATATCATATTGATAGCAATAGATAAAAGAGGTCATTCAAGGAATGGGAAAATCAGCTGAAGTCATTTAGGGCCTTTTAATTGACTCCTTCGTGGCTGAGCATTTGAAGAGCCATCTGTGTGCAACAAAGTCACAAAGAACAGTGCATGTACTTATGGCAAAAGGGATAAAATCCATGCAACATTTTTAGTATTAATTGGAATCTAATAGGTGACAGTATCATACTAAATTTCATAATATTGTATTCCACACCAACAAATTGTTTTTCTTTCAGAATGAGCGTTAGCCCTCCCGCTGGTGGTATTCCTTCTCCCAATTCAGCACTTTTAGCCTCGGTGGAGATGACTGATGATCCTGTCACCAAAGCAGTAATGGAAAATGTTTTGGGGCGTTTGCCAACTAAAAAGCCAAGGGTAAATTTAACCTCTGCAAATGAATCAGAAAAGGGGTAATGGTATTGATGTTGCTGATGGATGATTCATTCCTCAATATTATTAGTTGTGTTATTGGGTGGGATTAAGTTTCGTGCATTTTTAAAAGCTATTACCAATTTAGATATATAGTTCACTGATGACAAGTATTCTACTTGTGAAAACACAAAACAGATAAGATATTAAAGGTAGAATTTAGATGGAGTATGTATGTTGCATATATTATCATAAGGGTTGTATTTCAGAGTACTGTAAAATGTGATGTCTGCAATTTGGAATTTGCTTCACAAACAGTTTTAGATTCCATGTGGCTGGCTACAAACACCAGCGCAAGGTAAGGTTTTTCTTTTCCTTTTTTATACAAAATTATGTTCATAAGAGCATTTAAAGATTTTTTTAATTTCCTTTGACTACCTGTTAAGAGACCTTTTCTAAATGTATATTGTTAAGGCTAGGCATATATGAAAGTTAACTTTGTGGATGATTTCCTTTTATTGGATGTCTTCTCATTTGAATTATTCATCTACAGGTAAAATCGCAAGATCTCATGAAAACCTTAGAGGAAAATGAAATTGGATTTGAGCGCGACGACGTCAGTGGAGTCATTCGATGTACTGTGTGTGATGTGACAGTTAATTCTCCACAACTGTTAGCAACACACATTGCTGGCAACAAGCATAAAAAAGGCAGCCAAACGTGCATCAGGGGAAGGTGGTGTCCACCACCAAAGAAGTCCTGCAGTGGCTCAGGTAAGTGGCGTTAGAACCCCAAATGTAGAACAGTTTAAAGCGCTCACAAGCAATAAGTTAGAATCCTCTTTTGTGTTTAAATTTGCATAATTAAGCAATGGGAGATATTTGTCAGTAAAGAGGAATGGATTTCTAATTTAAGTATTACTATTCTTCCTTTATTTTTAATAATTACTTCAATTTAGATCTTACTTTATCTGTTTCTTGTATCTCTGACAATCCTGTCTTTGTATGCTTATAGTCTCAGTATTGAAAGGAAGCTTTTGTGGTGGAGTGAAAGTTTTTGAGTAACTGTTTATAAGCTTTCTTGGCCTGTTAGTAGAATGGGGACTCCTGAACAAAAGTGGATGTTGTTTAGGAGATTTGGGGCAAGGGGAATTTATTTACAAGTATGTGTGTATCTGTTAGTGTTTGCTTGTTATTGTGTGGGTGTATGCACATATTAATGCATGATTTTTTTTTTTTTTTTTTTTTTTTTTTTTTTTTTTTTTTTTTTTTTTTTTTTTTTTTTTTTGACAAGCATGATATATTCTTTTTCACATTAATATTTTCATATGAATATTACTGTTACATTTAGTATAATCTCATTTGTATTTCTTTTTTCTAAATATCTTCCCAAATTCTTAAAGCCCTAGGCAAGTTTTGAAACAGTGAAGGACTTTCAGAAGGGTAGATGTTTAAGAGATTGTAAATATTTTTCCTTTTTTCCTCCTTTCCCATCTGTTGATATGATTGAATAATCAAGCATGAT